TGCATTTTTATCTGAAAGCTGCTGCTCATCAGTTTAAAGCTGGGCACACAGGTACTGCTCTTGGCAGGGGCCTTATCAGGAAACTTTATCCCACAGAGAATAGGAAGTTTCAGTAAATTCTCTTTAACACAACTCTGATTAAACCAAGGCATAGGTGGGTAATAATTTGCCCATCTTTGTTGGCTCACAGCAGTTCTCATAGGAGAACTTGCACTCTTGCTCATTTCTAGTGTGTTAGAGAGTTTGGGATTCCAACTTCATACATTTACTGTGCACATAAGGAAACTCTGATGGGCTTCAGCTTTAGATCCAGCTAAACAATCAATTTTAAAGTTATTTATCTTCAATAAGAGGTCCTAATAAAAAAAAAAAGATAAATCTTGAGGCCACGCTGTTATCTTTTGTAATCATCTTTTCTAAGTGGCAAGCTCTTTGTTGTCTGAATTAACTTCAAATATTTTGCCTGAGATTTAAACCAAGATCACTGAGCTTTCCTCTAATCTGCTGTACTAGTTATTGCTCTTCATTGCTGTTTTTCAGCTGAGGAGAGGAAGACACCCAGTGAATCTACCAGTCCATCCTCATCCTCGCTGTCAGCACTGAGCGACTCTGCCAACAGCAAAGAAGATGCAGATGTCACCCCAAAAAACAAGGGTCCAAACAACCTGCTGGTCATTTCTGTAGTGCCTGGTACTCAGACCTCAGTGAACACTGAAGAGAAGTCAGAGAAAGGTGAGACACTGTTAAACAAAGACACTGCCACCTTCTTTGCAGTCCCACCTGGCCACACTGCAAGGGATACGTTCTCTGGTTTTATTTTTCAGGCTTTGAATGTGTTTTCTGTAACTTTGTCTGCAAAACAAAGAACATGTTTGAGCGTCACCTGCAGATCCACCTGATCACACGGATGTTCGAGTGTGACGTGTGCCACAAGTTCATGAAGACCCCTGAACAGTTACTGGAGCACAAGAAGTGCCACACTGTCCCCACCGGTGGGCTCAAGTAAGGAAAGCAAGTACCCAAACTTTTACTGTGTTAAGCACCTCTAATACTGTGAGGCTAGGCCAGAAGGGAGTCGGTTAGGAGGAGTTAGTGCAACGCCTGATAATCCAGATTTGGGGCTTTGTTTTATTTAGGGTGACCCAAGCCCAGTCCTTCAGTGTAGGCTTGCACCATCATGGCAGATCAGTGATCTAGCAGCAGATCTAGAGCTGGAACAGACTGTGGTCCTTTCCCTCTTCAAGTCAACTAGGAGACAGTGTGTGATGGGTCCTACAGAGAGCGAGGCCACACCACCCAGAGATGTTGGCAAACAAAGAGGGTTTTTTTTTTCAAGACATCAGAGCAAGGGAGAGCAGGCAGCACAGGCACAAAGAAACTAAACCCTGCAGAGCCTCTGTGACTAGGTATGAAGTTGTAACCTTAAAGGTTATGACCTTTGTAGAGTCTAATGCAGAGACCAAGAACGAACAACGTCGATGCTTTCAGTTTGGACTCATCCCCAGGATGATCACTGCTGTATAAATGAGCACATCACGAGCAGCACGCTCTCTTGAGGGAGCCCTTTGGCTCTGGGGGTGGTGTCCTTTAAGGGCTGTTGGTGCAGAGCAGTGTTTGCAGAGCATGAGCGTGCCCTGCTGTCAGAGCTGGACCCCTGAGGGCAGGAGGGGCTGCGGGGGCCATATGCTTGCTCTCCGTGGGCGGGCAACGTGACATTATGCAAGCCACGAGTCCCTGGCCTCTGCTTGTTCCAGCTGCTGCAGGAAATGAGGCTGGAACCACTTTGAGCCACCAGCTAGGGCTCAGGACAGGCCTCTGTGGCTCTTGCTAAGCTGGCCAGCATCCTCCGTGCACTGTCACCCTCCCGTGAGGAGCGCGGCACGGCTGACGGTGCCACGAGGGGCTCTGGCCCTTTTTTGGAAACTGGTTCTGTTTGCCAGGCAGCCTCTGGGCTCCAGCTCAGTAGTTCCATGAATTGGGATCTGTGGTCACTTGAGATGGGATGACTGAATCTGGGAAGAAGACCAGAGTCAGAAAGAAGCGGTGCGCCAGGACGACAGGATGTCTGTCTTGGACCTACAGACCAGTTGTCTGATGCACTTTGGGTTTAAACTGCACAGAATCTGGTCTATTTACCAAGGGAAAAACATGACCTATGACTCAGGCCTTCCTGACAGAATGGGTTTCTCAGTCTGCATAAGAAATTATTCCTGCCCAACTCAAGTAATAATTAGGTGCTTTGAAAGCTGCACTTAAGAAAAAGCTCTGATTTATTTTTTTTTAAGGCATCCAGAAGAGCCTGAAGAGATCTAAGTAAATTGTATTTTTCTGTCTCCTGTTTGATGTGGGGGAAGAGAAAAAAAAACAAAAACATGATTCCTCCAGCAGCTCCAGGTCAAAATCTGAGATTCTGATCCAGAGAGCACCCAGCCCAGGAGAGGTATGTGCACATAGAAGCTGAGTCCTCTGCTGCAGTCGAGCTAATCACGTTGGCAGCCTCAACGCCAGGCTCCCTCTCTGGATCAGAGTACTTGGTTGATGGGCAGCAGGAAAAGTGTCCAGGTGCTTTAGTAGCTGTTTGTCCTCCTCTGTTATTCACTGGGCTCAAAAGTCTCTTCATTAGCAGGTAAATTTATATTAAACCTGTATGTGCAACCACTCCCAGCAAGGGAAAAGAAGCGTGGAGAGGCTCTCTGCTTAGAAATGGTCTGAAAGGCTAGAACACAAGTGGCAGACCTGCAGGTGGAGAAGTCTGTAAGGCAGCAGCCAGGTGCCTTAGCTGTGTCTGTGTACCTAGACCCCTGCTCCGTGAGCTCAGCAGGCAGATCTGGAAGGGAATGTGCTTTTGTTTAATGCAGAGAGATCCCTGGCAGGTCGCTGCCCTCACCAACCTCCTGCCAGCTACCTAAAGCAAAAGTTTTGGGTCTGTTGGTGTGCGGGCTTGTACAGCTCAGGCTCAGGAGCCCGCGTCCTGTTCCCAGCCAGGAACAATTCCTGCCCTGGCAGAGGTGGCTGGAGGCAAAGCTGCTGAGCACACACCCCCTCCGAGCGTGGCTAGCTCACCTCCCAGAAACAGGAATCCCTACAAACCATCTCACCAGGCTGCCTTCCAGCTGCTCCTAGCAGGATTCCCAGCAAGCTTGTTGTTCAAGGTCACAGAAAAGGAATTTCCTAAGCTTTTGCTGTACGTGTGGTATTACAAGTTTATTCCATCTTTACTTAAACAGCTGCTTTCATACTCATCTGTAAACACTCACTTTAAACCACTTCTTAATGGAAAAAATGGGCAAAGCGACTTCGTGCAAACACTAGGAATGTCGTTACACAAAGTACCTGTGAATCAGTCACCCACTCTGCACTACCCGGCCTGCTTGGCAGAATCTTCCCCATCAAGGTAAGCCAGAAGATTAAAGGGATGCTGCTTCAGAGTGAATCAGTGTTTCCCTAGGGATGCGTGAGCTCCGCTGCCATTAAATGGGCAAAACCTCCCCTGAGCAGAGACCTAGCAGGGCAAACCAAGTACAGAAAGAGGCTTCAGAGGGAGAACTGAGAGCCTGTTCCTCCTCTTTAATAGGTCAGAGAGGGGTTGAGTGACAGGGTGAAACCAGGTCTTCAAGCTGAGTGACTCCTCTTTTCCCTGTCCCTGCCTCCCCTTGCTGTGCCCCCAGGTGCCCGTTCTGCATCTACTCCACCAACCGCCCCGCGGCGATGGAGTGCCACCTGAAGACTCACTACAAGATGGAGTACAAGTGTCGGATCTGCCAGACAGTGAAAGCAAACCAGCTGGAGCTGGAGATGCACATCCGAGAGCACCGCCTGGGCAACCACTACAAGTGTGACCAGTGTGGCTACCTGTCCAAGACCGCCAACAAGCTGATCGAGCACGTGCGCGTCCACACCGGCGAGCGCCCCTTTCACTGTGACCAGTGCAGCTACAGCTGCAAGCGCAAAGACAATCTCAACTTGCACAAGAAACTGAAGCACGCTCCGCGCCAGACCTTCAGCTGCGACGAGTGCCTGTTCAAGACCACCCACCCTTTTGTCTTCAGCCGCCACATGAAGAAGCACCAGAACGGGGACTGCTGCGAAGAGGAGAAGAAGGGCCAGTACTCCACCTCCAAGGAGGCCGCTCCCCACCCGGCAGTGAACAGCTCCAGGAACCTCCTGTCGCCCCTCTCGGTGATGTCTGCCTCCCAGGCTCTGCAGACGGTGGCCCTGTCGGCCGCGCAGGGCAGCGGGGCAGAGCCCGGCCTGGCGGCGAAAGCCTTGGCCATCAACGGCTCTTCCCTCTGCTTTGACAAATACTGGAACTCGGAGTTTGCCCACCTTATCCCTCTAACAATGTTTTTCCCCAAAAACCACTACGATCTCACATTCCATCCCCCCAGACCTCAGACTGCACCGGGAGGTGCCTCTTCGCCTAAACACTCCTTCCTCGCTTACCTTGGACTAACAGAGAGGGCAGAAACTGTCTGAGGGCAGTTACATTCTGTACCAAAAATACCCCCCACAAACCCAGCAGGTCTACAGTGCTGCACAACGTAGCCCGAGGAGGTACCCAACACTTGTACTATATCCTTAGCAAGGTTTAGCAAACAGCTCTGTGTGTATACTTATTGCATTGACATGAAAGCTGCTTTATTAAAAATCTCCAAGAGGTGACCTACTGCATACTTCTACCTTCAGAGGCATGTTCCCAGTACTCCTAGCTAAGAAACTATTTTGTCTTGTTAAGCTGATAAAAAAAAAAAAGAGTGTCCTTACTGGCAAGCAGCACTTGTAAGATGACATAGTGATGATGTTTGGTTTTTGGGGCTTGGTGTGCGTGTGGGCATGTGGAAGGAAGGCTGCCTGCAGCGTGCCACGACGTTGCTTTTGCACATCCCTTTGTATTGGCTTATTTAATTCTTCTTCTTCCTTCCCCCTTTTTCACACACTCCCTTCCCTCCGTCCCCCGCGGAACTGTAGGGCTGTGGAAGGAGGAGGGCCTGGGTGGGGCTGGGTGGGTGGATGGTTGGTGGTGTTTCAGTGCTGTTTGCAGCTTAGCTGATATGTTGGTCAAGGTTTGAGGGTCTGGGGTAGGATGATGAGGAAGAAGTTGCTTTCAGCACTGTGGGGTGGGAATCTGCCAGGGGAAAGGGTGGGGATGTCCACACACATCCACCCACGAGGTGTGTGCAGCCTCCACACCCCCAGAGCAGGCCCAGCTCTTCACCTCTCACACATCTTTTGTTTTAAAAGGGCATATAAATATTAGAGAGAGATATATACTGTATTATGCAGTGGTTACCTTTTAGCTTGCAGGAACAACTTGTATAATTCTAAAGTGGAAAAAAAAAATAATAATCCAACAAGGGGATTCAAAAAAAAAAAAAAAAAAAGGTATGGATAAATTCTGGGTATAAATACTCAGACTAAAAAAAAAAAAAGGCAGTTTTGCACAGTGCTTGAGTCTTGCACTAGTTTGTTTCTCACTTGCAAAATAAAAAAAAAGCAAAGAAATAAAAAAAAAATCTGTGGGCTGAAGGTAAGAAGACTGTTTATTTGAAAAGGTACCAGTACCAACTTTTGAAATATCTAGCTATGAAAAGATGCTGTTTGAACCGTACAGTTCTCTTTTATACCCTCAGTATTTCAGTTGTACTTGCAAATTCTACAGTCCTCCATGTTCTTAGTAATATTTTATCCCTTTTTGTTAATGGCAGATAGAGTGTACACTGCTAGGAAGCTGATTTTATCCTTATTTAACGCTCCTACGTGTGGTCATTAAAAATGACATGTCCTATGTAGCACTTTATTGCAGGAAGAAGCAAATGCAGATTGGTTGTATAACCTTTGTGAATCTCAAAATGCCAAGAGTGAGCTTTGTTTCAGAGAAGCTAACCGACTGTTAATTGATTTGTGGTCCTCAGCTTGAGATCCAGGAAGAAAGATGAGGATTAAAAATGCTCTGTGTTAAAATCAGAGGTATAAAACACAAAACGTTGCAAAATTATGACTTACTTATCACTTATATGACTTACAGGAATGCTTTCTTACTGGATGATTGTTTTCCATGGTGTCTCTTGGATCTGGATCTGGCTGTATTATCACCAGGTATTAGAAATGTCCTTCCTAGCTTCTGTCAGAGTCCCCTCCCTGCCCCTGGGCCACTGCAGGAGGTGCCCCAGTCACACCTAGGGTGCTCTCCACCCACCCTCGTGCTGTCCTGGAGGAACTTCAGCAGGTTGTTGGGTGGGGGGGACCTGACAGGCCAGTCAGAGCCAAGCCCTCCTTGGTGACAGCACCAAAGCAAGGCCCCAGTTCAGGAGGACATGCCTGGTCCACAAGGGCTCTTGGCAGGATGCACAACTCCAAACTTCGCTCTGTCTGCATCAGTTCTTCAGTGAAGCTTGTGTCTGAATATATTTTGATGCAAAGCTTTCATCATTTTTTAACATATGTGCAAGACTCCTCTCTCTGTTTTGTACTGAGATGGCCAAACATTCTCCACTATCATGACCAAACTCTTCCTCTCCAGGGAGGACGTCCTAATCTGTGCACTCCCATTAGCATACTGGAAGCTGTTTGCAAGGGGGAAAAATCCAAAATATAGAATACAAGGCTATAATCTGGAATTATTAATGAAAGGACAGAGAAGTCCCACCGTTTCGTTTACATTCCAGCAGACAGTTTTGGTTCTAAGGAGCATGTAGCAGTTCTGTCTACCCAGTCAAGAAGAGCCATCTGTTCCAAATTCTCTACAACCCTTTGTAAACAACCTGCATAACTCAGGGCCCTGTTTGCCATGCTTTGCTCCATCAGAACTCCTGCTTACACCCCCCTGGAGCACAGAGAAAACACAAAACCTTGTATTAGTACATACTCAAAGCATCAAAAAATCAAGTCTCTCAGCAGAATGAAATATCTGCATCCCAAAATGTTCTTTAAAAGACACTCGGCGTATCTCTGAGCTCACCATAGAAGAGCAAACACTTCCAAATCAAAAAAAAAAGCTTGTTTTTTATCAGGTAAAGTCCAGCTGTCTGGGAGGAGGAGGAGGAGGAGGAATATTAGTAGGACACTTTCTGTAAACCAAGTGGCAGTACCAGTATCTGACAAGAGTAACTTTTAGTGTACCTGGGAGATTTCGTTGAGCACTTTGGAAAGGAGAAGTTCATTCTTTCTGGCGAGTCCTAGAAGGATTCTCTGTAAGGAAAAGTCTGTTAGGAGGTTTTTATTTTTTTAAGGAAAAAAAAAAAATGCAGTATTTATCAGCGCTCACGCGTGTTAAAATAATTGGTTTGCAGTTTGAGGCTAAAGGAAGAAGGAATGGTCTCCAGAGGTCCCCCCCCCTACTGACTAATGACCAACAGTTCTGATAAACCCCCTCCCACTCCATAAAGGAAATTTCATACTGGTTTTCACTATGCATTCTTGAAGGAAAGCTGGTGTGGTTTTCCATTTGGGAATTCAGTTCAAGTTCTCAGCACTTTTTTTTTTTCCCCCTCTCTCTTCTGTCTTTTTTTTCTTTTTTAACCTCGTTGTATTATGTTCAGATCTCATTCTGTCAAGGTTTGTGTACATGAATAAAAATTTGTATTGTATAAAGCTTTTTGCATTATAAGGCTGTACAGGGTCATTTTGACAGTAACTGGTATATTCCTTTGCATCTTATGTTGCATTGCCAATTTCTAGTGTATCCAGTTTGGAAGTACAATATACTCTAATTAAAAGGTTGGCTATATCCTTGTTTCTCTTTGGTTCTCCTTCCTCTCTTTTTTAACTTTAGATAGATTTAGGCTTGATTTGGAGGGCGGGGGAAAGGGTTCTTCTACAAGACAAGAAGACATGAAGGAAAAAGGTAAGATGGTATCAATGGTGGCAACTGAAAATCAAAGCTCTGCTGATGGAGAAGCACAGCAAATATTCCTGGGGTGGCTACAGGACTTTTCCTGTGGGCTCTGTACCCTGCTGGGTTCAGAGAGCCTGGCCTTGCTTGGAAAGTCCCAGGGAAATCAGAACTCTTTCCTAGAGAGGAGCTACGTAGTGAATAAAGGAACATTGTGCATTAAAAGGTTGCACTGGACATCTATTTTTTAATTGTAAAAACTTATTTTTACACGTAAATGTTTTCTCAGCATTTTAGACAAAGCTGGGTCTTTTCACCAAAGATTAATGAAACAATTAACATGCACAGAGCAAGCTAAAGAAGGAAACTATGAGCAGATGAATTTCCACACAGGAAAGATATTACTGGCTCCACTGAACAAGAAAAGATACTGAACATCCTAAAAGGAATTTGAAAGTATGAAAACACAACAGAAAAAAAGAATCTGGGTATTCATTAGGAGCAAACCTTGTAGAACATGAGGTGCTGGTAACAGTGCACCTGGGCAAGAAGAAATGGTTTTCTCTCCTCTTGTATCTGTAAGAGAAAATAAACAGTGGTACTCCATAGGTTGGGGTCTTTTTTTGTGCTAGATACCAACAGCCTAGCAATTAAAAGACAATCATGCAGATTCTTTAATTTTGAAAGGTATTTCAGAGCTTGAGCTACCAAGCCCTGATTAGACCTTGATGGTTTTAAAGCCAACCTCTGCAGGTGGAAGTTGCTGCAGTCCTGTTGTAAATCATTCCAATCATTTGTTTAATTGAGACAGTGCTTTCAGGTGTAGGGTGAAATGTTTAGCTCAAGCAGGGAGTGAGCCAAAGAGGACCCTGGCTGGCAGAGGAGAGGGGCAGGGCTTTAACTCTGCACCATTTGACAGTGTCTATGGAGCTCCAGCCCTCGAGTCTTCCTGGAAACTTTTGTTTAAAAGCTCAATTGCAACCAAAGCATTGACCCTCCTCTTGCAATCAGCCTCTCTAGCTTCACCAAAACCCCTGTATCTGACAGAAGAACCCCTGTGCACCCAAACAGGGCTGTTAGGGTCATGTGCTGATCCATGACAAACAGCCACTGTCCTTTGCAGCTGGTGCTTGCAGACCTGTGTGATTTTAATTGATTAATCCAACTTCTCTGCCTTTTCTGAGCATACACCAATGGATATGTTGTGATAGAAATCATCTCTGTTTGTGTATTGACCCTCTCAGGCCAGCAAGAACTGCCCTGCTGCTTTCATTCTGCTTCTATATATCTTTTTAATATGCCATCTATGTTAAAAACAAATAATGAGCTTAAAAGTAGACATTTTTTCAAGCAGAATTATATCTTATAATCCTCCACCTGTTACAGTCATCATGCAGACAAAGGCTGGAGAGAGACCTGGGGCAAAACCAAAACCAACCCAACCCCATCCCACCAAAACTCTCCCTAACACTCGGCTGCAGAGAGGGATTCTGTTGCAGGGGATGGCACCGTTTAGGCAGAGCCACGTTTTAAAAACACACCAGTTGTACTCCTAACAACCAGCCATCTGCATGCTCTCATCCACCCTCATATCTGCTGCTGATGGGGCTCCTTGTTGACAAGTCTCAGCAGCAAGGTTAAGTGCTGGCTGTAAAAAATCAGCCTAGCCTGGTGCCCGCGGGGTCGGAGCTCGGGCAGCCTGTGCAGGAGCCTGTGCAGCCTCTTCCCTGCTATATATTTTCTGAGAGCTCATAAAACATGAGTGCAATCACTCCTACCCAGAGCTCTGCCAACCACTGGAGTGATAATTCTTATTTACTGTGTAAGACATGGATGGGAGGGTGTTCCATGCTAGGAGGTGGGCTTGTTTTGTTGTTGTTTTGGGGGTTTTTTTGGTTCATTGTTCCATTTCCCGCCCCCTCAACCACGATTCAAATGCAACATGTGGCACAACTCTGAAA